TGTTTATTTCTGAGAGTTTTGTTTTTTCTGGGGTGCGCTATTGCAAATGGGATGTTTTCTTCTTTTTTCTAACTGCTTGTTTGTACATAGGAAGATTGTCTGAGGCCAGGCTTGGTGGCTGAGGCCTGTAATCCTAGCACTTTAGGAGACTGAGGCAGACGGATTGCTTGAGCCAAGGAGTTTGAGACCAGCCTGGGCAACCTAAGATGACCCCATCTCTATTTATTTATTTTTCTGAGACAGGGTCTTGCTCTGTCACCCAGGCTGGAGTGCAGTAGTGCAGTTCCAGCTCACTGCAACCTCCACCTCCCAGGTTCAAGCAATTCTCATGCCTCAGCCTCCTGACTACCTGGTATGACAGGAGTGTTTTACCACACCTGGCTAATTTTTGTATTATTAGTAGAGTCAGGGTTTTGCCATGTTGGCCAGTCTGGTATGAAACTCCTGGCCTCAAGCAATCTGCCTGCCTTGGTCTCCCAAAGTGCTGGGATTACAGGCATGAGCTGTGCCCAGCCTCATCTCTGTAGTTTAACAACTAAGTAAAAGAAAGGCTGTTTAGTATGTTCCTTTTGTACCTAACTCTTTAGCAGAATCTGTCTGCCTCATTTTTCAGAGTAAATATGACTATTTCACCTTCTGCCTTTTTCTTTAATATCTTCCTTTGCTCCTTGCCTAGTTGCATCAGCTAGGGCTTCCAAAATAATAGTGGTAACAGAGGGCATTCTTTTGTTCCAAAAGTTGATGGAAGCTTCTATTGCTTCAATCCCTTACAAATGATGCTGGGCTTTGCTTTGATGGGTGTATGTCTGGGTGTAATTTCCTTTATTGTGTGTGTGTAATCTAAGGAAGTATTCCTTTTCTTAATTTGATAAGTTTCTTTTATAAATTTTGTAGTCAAATGCCTTTTGAACATCTATGGTGAGTATAATTTTCAACATACTAATATAAATGAAAAGAGAAGATGTTCTAATTTCGAGCCATTCTTTCACACTGTACAAGTCTCCCTTGGTTTAGGTAAGTTTTTTTTCAGCCCCAGTGGGGTTTATTTGCTAATATATTATTTGGATTTTCATACGTTGATTTTTATGTAACTGTCTTTTCTTGTTTGTTTTAGAGATATGGCTTTGCTCTGATGCCCAGGCTGGAGTGCAGTGATGTGATCACACTTTACTGTAATTTTAAACTCCTGGGCTAAAGTGATCCTCCTGCCTCAGCCTCCTGGGTAGCTGATATTACAGGCACGTGCCACCACACCTGGCTTAATTTTTAAATTTTTGTAGAGACAGAGCCTTGCTATGTTGTCTGAGCGGCAGTTCAGTGTACACTGTAGATGTGAACATTTACTGGTCTTTCTGCTGGAATCATTCCCTCTCCCATCTGTTTGTCTTTAAATTCTGGGCATGCGCACACACTCCACCTGCACATCCTAACTGCAAAATACTGATGTTGTCCAACCTGCCTTGAAAAGGGAGAACTGTTTTTCCCTCTTTGTATCTCTGCTGGTGTTCAGTCCACTGCTGTGTTTTCGGTAAATACTTGACCCACAGAGTTTGGGAGGCAGGAAGGGAAGGCTTCTGCATTTCCTTTGTGGACCTGACATCATGAATCCATTAAGCATATTGGGAAATTAGCAGGTCAGGTGGCTGCACACTCTAGTTGCCTCTGACTCTGAATTGCTGAGGGCCCCCTGCATGCCAGTGACTTGCTTTTCTTTGTGAGTTATCTCTTCACTCATATTCCTAGGATGAGTTCCCCAAACAGTGGCTAGCACAGCACCTGTAACAGTTGTGGGTGCATATCTGATCTTGCATGACCTGACTTATAGGGTGTTTTGAACACAGGTGCTACCTGTTATGGCTTGGGCTATGGCTAAAGTTTACTTGACTTCCTTTCATAAAGTAACTGGTAGAGTATGTGGCATAAGGCTATTATTTCAAAAGCAGAAGTGGTGGGGGGTGATTGAGCTTGGGCAGCATTGGGAGGCAGACAGACCTGGCATCAGCACCGTCCTGGCCATTTGTAGGTTATATGACCTTAGGGGAATCCCCTCAACTCTCTGAGTCTTTGTTTCTTCCCTCATTAAGGAGATCATCCATTCCTCATTGGACTATTTTAAGGCTTAAGATCAAACGTCTTTCAAGGCACTCGGAGCAGTGCTGGGCTCTGGGTCTTTAGGCTGTAACCATAGCAAACACTCAGATCCCCGCCACCCTCGCTTCTCTTCCCTCCAGTGTGGGGATGTGGAGAACCAACCTTCTCATTTCCATTTACCCTGGAGTTGTTTCTTTTGAACTTCATCTAGTACCTGCTGTGCACCAGGAATTCATGGGTGAGGAGGACACAGGGACAGCCAAGTCTGGCATCTGGCCTTCAGCTTGCTTCAGTCCCTGTGGCTGACACCTGGCCCTTTGCTCCGGAATCTGGACCCTACAATCTACTACCAAATGCTCAGCCCAAAGAGGACGCCCCCTATCAGTGAGAAGAATGCATAACTGCCCACGTCTCCCCATCTCCTGAGCTGATGATCAGCCCCAGCAATCCAGAGACACATTCTTGTATTCTGCTAGGTTTATTCTTCAGTTGAAAACTCAAAGGAAAATGTTATGTTCCAAAAGAAAGTGAAAAAAACTTCGAATGCTCTAGCCTGGGAGGCTGAATTCACAGGTGCCCCTACCAAAACAGAGGCCTTCGAAAGCCTTCTGTCCCCGTGTGTCTACCCCAGAGAGCAGCTCTCTATTGGGCTTCTGAAGAGCTATCAGTTCCCCTCAAAGAAGCTCCTGCCTCAAGAGATCCCCGGATCAGGCAGGGAAAGCCAGGACTGGGCAGCTGAGAAGCATGTCCTCCTGTGCACAGTCAGCGTTCTGAAGTGGTGGTTTCCCACATGGCTGTTGAATAAGTTAATAAATACCTTGGGCATGAATAGGAGCTGGTAGAGCTCTCTCTGCAGGGCCAGGACTCGCTGGCTACGCTGTCTCTTGGTTTACAGTGGAGGTGTGGAGGAAGGGGGAGAATTAACCAGACCAGTGGGAGAGTTTCATGTCCTCACAAGTATTTTTGAATGCAATGGCAAACAGCTCATCTTCTCTGCATTTGAAGCATGTATGGTTCTGAGTTTCCCAGCATTCCATGCTGGTTAGTCTGTCCCAGCCAAGAATCTTGCCCTTGTCAAGGAGCTGGAATTAGAGTAGAAGGTGGAGGAGTTTGAAGTCTTTGGCAGCCTAGTGCTAGCTTAGATGAAATCTCAAACTGAAAAGAAGAGAGAAGAGAGAAGTAAGGCCAGACTATGGGCCCCAGAGGAGAGGGGGCCCAGCTGTTTTCTGAAATAAATTATGCCGAGGCCCCTAGTACAACCCCTGGCCCTCCTTATCGAAAGGACAGCTCTCCATCCACTCCCACCCATCTCCCTCTCCCCTTTCGGTAAGAGCATCAGGGATGGGTCGATGAGTCCTGACACCTGCCAGGCCTTTGCAGGCAGTGGTGTTAGGCCCAGCCTGCTGCGTTCCTGGAAAATTGAACAAGCATCTATGGAGCCCTCACTCCATGTCAGGCTCTGCTACCAGCACCCTGAAGACAGAAGACCAAGACATACTTCCCAGCCCAGGGGATGGCGGAACCTTAGCCCACAATGCATTGAGAGCTCAGGATGCATCCAACCCAAAGTGCAAGCTAAAGGGAACTCTCACTGTGTGGGTAGGATCTTGAGTACAGTTTGCAGTGGAGGCTGCTCAACTGTTTCCCTATCAAGTGTGGTGGTCACGGACACAGACTGGACACTCAGGGCTACCAGGGTAAGGAAGCGCTCTTGTAACCCTCATCTGTTAGGAGAATGGTTTTATCTAACGTCTTTGAGATGGAGTCTAGCCCTCTCACCCAGGCTGGAGTACAGTGGCTCACTGCAACCTCTGCCTCCCAGGATCAAGCAATTCTGCCTCAGCCTCCTGAGCAGCTGAGATTACAGATGCCTGCCACCACACCCAGCTAATTTTTCTGTTTTTATTAGAATATGGGTATAGTCAGGCTGGTCTCAACTCTTGACCTCAGTGATCCACCTGCCTCAGCCTCCCAAAGTGCTGGGATTACAGGCATGAGCCACCACACCCTGCTATTTATTTTTTTTGAGATGGAGTCTTGCTCTGTTGCCCAGGCTAAAGTGGAGTGGCACAGTATCAGCTCACTGCAACCTCTGCCTGCTGGGTTCATGTGACTCCCCTGCCTCAGCCTCCTGAGGAGCTGGGACTACAGGCATGAGCCACCACACCTGGCTAGGAAGTGCCCTTCTGTCCCTCATCTGCTAAGAGCAATGTCTAAAAGATGGGCTTTAGGTGGCCTTTCTGCCATCTCTCTCTACTACATTCTGGTTCTTTTTCAGTATGTAGTTTTCAGTAATTAGTAAATTAGCTGATTGGCTAAATTACTAAACTATAAATATAGTGATTAGTAATTTAAATAATTTCTGGTTTCCTGCTGAAATCTATGATCTCTGTCTAATAAGCCTACTATCTGAGTCTTGTGGGTCTGTCTATTATTGTCTGTCTGTGCTAGTTTTTACACTGAGAATCGTACCTCCCTAAGTGTGTTTTTTATTACTACGGTGTTGATAATCGTATCATCATGCCCAGCACGGAGGTGCTCAATAAATATACATTTCCAGTGTCAAAAATATTCAATGTGGTAAAACACAAAAAATTTACAACGACCATTTAAAGTACCCACTTCAGTGTAAGTACAATTATATTTTTGTGCAGCCAAACAAACTCTGGAACTCACTAAATCCTGCCAAACTGAAACTCTGTCCCCATTCAATAAGTCCTTACTGGCTCTCCAGCTCCTGGTTGCCACCACTCTACTTTCTGTCTCTGTGAATCTGATTACGCTAGGTCCTTCCCATCAGTGGAATCATACAGCATTTCTCTTTTTGTGACTGCCTTATTTCACTTTGCATAACGTCCTAAAGGTTGATCCATGTCTTAGCATGTGTCGGAATTTCCTTCCTTTTTAAGGCTGAATTATGTTTGACTGTATGGAGAGACTACATTTGTTTATCTCTCGGCGGGCACTTGGATTGCAGCTATTTTTCAGCTCCTATGAACAATGCTGTGCCGAGACCAGCTCAGCCTCAGAGACCGCAACTCATGCGGCAGTGAAGGAATTAAGAAACAGACACCGACATAGCAAAAGGTGGGTTCAGAGTGGGGCACCAGGGGTCTCACAGCACTTCCAGCTGAGAGTCCAGAGCAGACTCTAACCAATGTATTTATTCTTTACGTTCCAGTGACAAGTTTTACAAGAAGATGCTCTGTGTTCTTTCATTGGTTAAAGGTAAACTTACCAGGCAGCTAGTGTGTGTTTACTACAAGTTAAAGACAAACTAGAAAGCGCTCTTTACAAGGGAACAAAGAAAGGGTTACCCATCCTGTGCTCAAAGAACTGATTCATCTGGCGTGAGACACAATTATATTGAATACTGTTTATAGTGCTCTGAGCAGTTTGCTGCTTTGGGGCAGTTTTCCGCTTTGGGAGGCCGACTAAGTTTCCCTTGCCACCTCTCTCAATAGGATTTCTCAGCAAACAATATGATTTCTCACTCAACAACGCTGCTATGAGCATCAGTGTATAAATGTGTGAGGCCCTTTGAATTGTAGAGAGTACACACCCAGAAGCGGAAATGCTGGATTATATGGTAATCCTTGTTTAGAGACAGAGTATCGCTCTGTCACCCAGGCTGGAATGCAGTGGTGCAATCCTGGCTGACTGCAACCTCTGCCTCCTGGGTTCAAGCAATTCTTAACCCTCAGCCTCCTGAGTAGCTGGGATTACAGGCCGCACCGCCACGCGTGGCTCGTTTTTGTGTTTTTAGTAGAGATGGATTTCACCACGTTGGCCAGACTGGTCTTGACCTCCTAGCCTCAAGTGATTCACCTGTCATGGCCTCACAAAGTGCTGGGATTACCAGTTTGTGCCACCATGCCTGGCCTGTTTTACACTTTTTGATGAAAAGTTTAAACACTGTTTTCCATAGTTAAGCTCCATTTTATATTCCCAGTAAGAGTACACACGGCTTCCAGCTGCTCAGCATTCTCTCTAAGACTTTATTTTCTGTATGGATTACAGCCATCCTAATGAGTCTGAGGTGGCCTCTCCATGTAGGTCTTCTTTTTTTGAGATGGAGTCTCGCTCTGTCACCCCGGCTACTGTACAGTGGTGCAATCTTGGCTCACTGCAATCTCCCCCTCCCAGGTTCAAGCAATTCTCCTGCCTCAGCCTCCTGAGCATCTGGGAATTCATCAGCCAAGCTGGTCTCAAACTCCTGACCTCAAGTGATCTGGGAATTCATCAGCCAAGCTGGTCTCAAACTCCTGACCTCAAGTGATCCGCCCATCTCGGCCTATCAGAGTGCTGGGACTCCAGGCATGAGCCAGTAAGTCCAGCTTCTCCGTGGTTTTGGTTTCCCTAATAGTGATGGTGAGCATCTTTTTATGTGCTGATTGGCCATTTGCACCTCTTATTTGGTAGACTGTCTATTCACATCCTTTGCACATTTCTGAACCACGTTAGTGGGGTTTTTGTTGTTACATTGTGAGAGTGCTTTATCTGTTCTAGATGGGAACTCTTTGACATGTAATTTGTACATCTGTCATTCCGTAGGTTTCCTTTTCAGTCTGTTAATAGTATCCTTCGATGTAATCCAATCTGTCTACTTTTCCTTTTGTTGTTTGGGCCTTTGGTGTCATATCTAAGAAATCATGGCCAAAGGAAGCTATCCTTCTATGTTTTAGAAGTTGTCAGCTGGGAACAGTGGCTCCTACCTATAATCCCAGCACATTGGAGGCCGAAGTGGGTGAATCATGAGGTCAGGAGTTCAAGACCAGCCTGACCAAGATGCCCTGTCTCTACTAAACATACAAAAATTAGCTAGGCGTGGTGATGGGCTCCTGTAATCCCAGCTACTTGGGAGGCTGAGGCAGAGAGTTGCTTGAACCTGGGAGTCGGAGGTGGCAGTGAGTCGAGATCACGTCACTGCACTCCAGCCTCAGTGTCAGAGTGAGAGTCTGTCTCAAAAAAAAAAATGAGTTGTATGGCTTCAGATCTTACACTTGGTTCTTTGATTCATTATTGAGGGTTTTTTTTTTTTTAAAAAAACATGATATAAGGTAACGCTTTAACTTTATTCTTTTGCCTGTGGACATCTAGTTTTCCAACGCCATTTGTTGAAAGACTGTCCCTTCCCTGATTGAAGTCTTGGCATCCTTATTGAACTCATTTGACCATATGTGTAAGAGTTTTATTCTGCACTCTGTATTCCATTCCACTGGTCTCTCTATATGTCTTTATTGCCGTACCACACTTTTGACCACTGTAGCTTTTTTTTTTTTTTTTTTTTAAAGATAGAGTCTTGCTCTGTTACCTGGCTGGAGTGCAGTGGCACAATCTCGGCTCACTGCAACCTCTGCCTCCTGGGCTCAAGGGATTCTTCTGCCTCAGCCTCCCGAGTAGCTTGGACCACAGGCGTGTGCCACCACACCTGGCTAATTTTTGTATTTTTCGTAGAGATGAGGTTTCATCATGTGGGCCAAGATGGTCTTGATCTCTTGACCTCATGATCTGCCCACCTCAGCCTCCCAAAGTGCTGGGATTACAGGCTTGAGCCACCATGCCCAGCCCTCTGTGGCTTTCAATAATACATTTTGAAACTGAGAAGTAAAACACTTCCAGCTTTGTTACTTTTTCAAGATTGCTTTGGCCATTTGGAATCTCTTGAAATTGCATATAAACTTTACACAATTTATAAGGATAGATTTTTCTGTAATTGAAGAAAAAATGTCACTCACTGAGATTTTGAGAGCAATTAAACTAAACCTGTAGATCACTTTGAGTCGTATTGACATCCTAATGAAACTAAGCCTTTTAATACATAAATATGAGATGCCTTTACATTTGTTACATAGTCGGTCTCTGGAACTGAAAACCCTGCGAGAGTCTGCCTCCTGGTTGAGTTTATTCCTGTTTTATTCTTTTTGATGCCATTGTAAACTGAGTTTTTTTTTTTCCCCAGATAGTGTCTCACTATGTTGCCCAGGCTGGGGTACACTGGCTATTTACAGGCATAATTATTATAAAAACTGACAGCATTGACCTGCCAGGCTCAAGTGATTCTCCTACCTCAGCCTCCCAAGTAGCTGGGAATATAGGCATCCACAACCAAGCCAGAAGAAACTATTTTCTTAATTTCCTTCTGGGATTGTTGACTGTTAGTGCGTAGAAATGCAACTGACTTCTGTATATTGATTTCATAATCCTAAACTTGGACAAATTATTAGTTCTAACAGTTTATTTTGTGCAGTCTTCAAGATTTTCTACAAAGAAGATCATGTAGTTTGTTAACAGATAAAATTTTACTTCTTCCTTTCCAATTTCGATGCCTTTTCTTTTTCCTTTCTTTCTTAATAGCTCTGGCTAGGATTTCCAGTATTATGAAAGCATGCATCATTGTTTTATTACTCATCTTGGAAAACTTTGTCTCATCATTGAGAACGATACTAGCTGCATGTTGTTCATATGACCTTTATTACGTTGAGGTTGTTTTGATTTCTAGTCAATTTGTTTTTAATCATGAAAGGATATTAAACTTCATGAAATGCTTTTTTTGTACTAATTGAAACAAATTATGTGTTAATTTCTCTGGTCAGGTGCTAGGGGGAAGGATGACATGAAGTCAGGAGTTCGAGACCAGCCTGGCCAACATGGTGAAACCCCGTCTCTACTAAAAATACAAAAACATGGTGGTGGACGCCTGTAATCCCAACTACTTGGGAGGCTGCACCACTGTACTCTACTCCAGCCTGAAGGACAGAGCAAGATCGTATCTCAAAAAGATAATAAAAAGTGTCTTAATATTTCTTTTTTTTATGAGAGTTCATAAGATGCCTTTATTTTGTAACTTACAATCACCTTTAAATTTGTCCTTCAAGTGTTAACTCTAACTGGTGACTGTTTTTCTTAAATACTTCACTGGCATTCAAGAGAGAAAAAGAATTTAGCCCTTGATTTAAAATAAATAAACCCGGCCAGACACGGTGGCTCACACCTGTAATCCCAGCACTGTAGGAGGCCGAAGCATACAGATCATGAGATCCGATGTTTGGGACCATCCTGGCCAACATGGTGCACCCCCATCTCCACTAAAAACACAAAAAAACTAGCGGGGCATGGTGGCACATGCCTATAATCCCAGCTCCTCAGAAGATTGAGGCAGGAGAATTGCTGGAACCCAGGAGGAGAAGGTTGCAGTGAGCTGAGAATGCTCCACTTCACTTCAGCCTGGGCGACTGAGCAAGACTCCATCTAAATAAAGAAATCAATCAATCAATCAAACCCACCCACCCACCCTAAGAGGAAGACAGAGGACCTTAACTGCAGATAGTACTCCATTGTTACCCTGTGGCTATATATCTTCTGAGATGCCTGTCGTCTCAGATGTTCTGTTGATGGCTGTAGTCGCTGAAAGTTTTGTATTTACATGGTCAAAACATTGAGTGCTTCTGTTTGATTCCCAGATTCTCCAACCTTCCCATGGAGTCACACCACCTCCTGTCTTGGCACTTCATGAGTCCAGTGGTCTTTCACAAGAGGATCTGGTTGGCAGACCGTGACCTTGGTTCCTGCTTCTATCCGTAGATTTATTCTTAGCAGCCACCACCTTTTTGGTACTAGAACAGTGCGTTTTTTATAGTGCGTTCATCGGTGGATGCTGAGACCACAACCCGGTCATTTGGATGTTCAACTAATGCTTTATGACGCAGTCCCTGCAACTCACCAACCCGTGCCAGAACTCAACTGGAGCTCAGGTGTGTAGCACTACCTTGTTTCTCTATGGCTGGGAGTGCAAACATGGTTGATGTGTTTATTTCCCATTTTTACTTTGCAGGTTTTGTTTTGTGAGACAAGCTCTTACTCCATCATGCAGCCAGAAGTGTAGTCATGGTTCACTGCAGCCTTGACCACCCATATTCAAGCCATCTTTCCTCAGCCTCCCAAAGTGCTAGGAATACAAGTGTGGCCTACATTTGAGCTTTGAGTTCATTATTTATTCTAGAAATGAGTCTCTGGAGATGAGTTCTTCATCTGATAGTTGGTTTGTAAAAGTTTTTCCCAAACTGTAGCTTATCTATGGAAATAATAATGTTATTCTGTTTTTTTATACATTAGGCAATAGCTCTAGTTACACCTCTGCCATATTAACAAAAATTTCATCCTCACACCCTTGACATTAGAATTGAAAGCATAGGGGGGTTTCACCCCTTGCAATATTTAATTCAGTATAATTGTTATCTGGTTTACATTAGTGACCATATCAGAGCATGGTGTACACCTCTTGCCATATTCCGAGTATTTCCCTATGGGCCGCAACATTTCCCTCTCCTTCTCTGGATATTAGGAGCAATATTTCAGGATGGTCGACCAGTCCCAGTCACATCGTAAGTAATGTCATCTGTAATCCCCTAGTTATTAGGAACAGTATCACCGGGGCTTGTGTGATTTCTAAGATATTTGGAGTAATATCCTTTAACTTTTTGAATATTACCAACAACACTACAGTAGTGGTGTACGCTTCCTGCGATATTCAGGCTATGGTCATCCTTTGTCCCCAAGATATTGTTAACTGCACCACAGAAGTGTTTTAATTTGCCTGTGATATTGGAACAATCACAAAGTGTACACGTGCTTTCACAATGAGAGTAATGCCTACTTAGGATACAATGCATAATATCACGAAATGGACACACATGTGTGTATACCCACTTTGATTTTAGAAGTCATTTTTATCTAATATATTAAATAAAAATCATATCCCAGAATATACTCATGATGTGTGCACTTATTGGGATATTACAAACAATGCACAGAATATGTACCATATATATATTGACTGTGATGGGCGTATGTGTACACAAAAGAGATGTACATTAAATGTACATAATCTGTAAAATATGTAGAATTATATATACACAATATGTACACAATAGGTATGTAAATAATGTGTACAATATGTACATTTATTATAATACCACAATGATATCATATAATCACAAAAGCTTATACAATCCCAATACACAGGTAATACATAATATAAATATACATATTGCACACATTATGTACATTTACATTTATTGTGATATGTACACATGTACATCATGTACCCATTATGTAGAGATGTATAGTATGTGCACGTATATATTGTGCACAGTATGTACATATGGACACTATGCACACATATGTACATATAATGTAGATATGCATATTTTGTACATGAGTACATATTATGCACAGTATGTACATGTATAAACTATGTACACACATGCGTGTACACCCACTTGGGTAACTGAATTAATTTCTAATATGCTAAAAGAAATATTAAAGAATATACTCATAATGTGTACATTTACTGGCATATCAAAATAAATGTATGAAATAGGTACAGTCTGTATATTTATTCTGCTGTACATGTGTGCACCCAATATGCAAGTTGAAAAATGTACAAAATCTGTAAAATATGTTCCTTTATATTTCTATCATGTGTACACAATGTATAGGTACATGTTTGCTATATGTACATCTACTGCAATATCACAATAATATCATATCCCAACAGCATATATAATCACAATAAATGTGTAACACATAACAATATAATTGTACATATGCAAACATTATGTATTTACATTTATTGTTAAATGATGATGTGTATGCATGTACATAATGTACCCATTATGTAGAGATGTACAATATATGCACATGTACATATGTGTGCACGGTATGTACATATGTACAGATATGTACATACAGTGTAGACATGTACATTGTGTACAAGAGTACATAATATGCACAGTATGTACATGTGTAAACCATGTAAACACCTGGGTGTACATCCACTTTGGTCACTGTAGTAATTTCTATCTAATATGCAAAAAATTATATCCCAGAATGTACTCATAATATATACATGTAATGGCATATTGCAAGAAATGTATATAATAGGTACAGTCTGTACATTTACTCTGATGTACATATGTGTACACAATACAGATGTACAATAAATGTACATAATCTGTACAATATGTATATTATATGTACATAATGTGTACACAATACGTATGTACATAATGTGTACAATATGTCCATTTATTGTAATATCACAATGATATATAATCACAACAGCATATAAAATCACAATGCACATGTAATACATAATATCAATATAAATGTACAGATTGCAAACATGTACATTTACATTTATTGTAATATTACGATATGTACACATGAACATGTATACATTATGTTCACATGTACACCCTGTACCCAGTATGTACACATGTACATCATGTACCCATAATGCACAAATGTACAATATATGCATGTGTATATATGTGTGCACAGTTTGTATATATGTATGCTATGTACACATACATACATATAACGTACATATGTACCTTCTGTACACAAGTGCATAATATGCAAAGTATGTACATGTATAAGCAATGTACACACATGCGTGTACACCCACTTGGGTAACCAAAGTAATTTCTATCTAATATGTTAAAAGTAATATCCCAGAATGTATTCATAATGTGTACATTTATTGGCATATAACAATAAATGCATAATATAGGTATAGTCTGTATATTTGCTCTGCTGTACATATGTACACCCAATACACAAGTAGAAAAAATCTACATAATCTGTAAAATATGTACCTATAGATTTCTATGTGTACAAAATGCATAGGTACATAATGTGTGCATTATGCAAATTTCTTAGAATATCTGTGATAAAATATCACCACAGTAAGATATATAATCACAGTAATATATACATATCTTATATCACAAAGAGTACATGTTGCACACATTTGGTATGCATTAGGTACACATGTATTGTGCACATACTATGTACATATATAATGATTGTGATAACACCATACGTACACGTGTACAAATATGTGCCCACTATTTAAACTATGTACACATGTAGAAATAGGTGCAAACTATGTACCTATGCAGAGCATGCTGTTACCACAGCCCTTCTCGTAGCAGCCCCCAGGTCCACCCTGGCTACTTAAGGACACCCTGGCTAGGGGGCTGTGCCCACAGCCCCTGCCAGAGGGCCCATAACAGCTCCCAGGCCCACCCTGGCTTCTTACAAACCCCCTGGATAGAAAGCTGTGCCCACAGCCCTGCCAGAGGTCCCATAGCAGCCCCCAGGCCCACCCTGGAGTCTTTGGGACCCCTGGCTATGGGGACCCCTGTTGCAGCTCTTGGGGAAATACTCTGAATACAGCAAGACATGTACACCATGCTCCGATATGGTCACTAATGCAAACAAAAAAACAAGTATACTGAATTAAACATTGCAAGGGGTGAAACCCCCCTGTGCTTTCACTTCTAATGTCAAGGGGGTGAGGATGACATTTTTGTCAATATGACAGAGGTGTAACTAGAGCTATTGCCTAATATATGAAAAAACAGAATAACATTATCATTTCTATATGATATGGTCTCCAGTATCATATTACACCACATTTTCAAAATAGCTGGTCCCCAGCAGCTGTGGGCATAGCGGCCAAGTGAGGGGGTCCCTAGGCAACCACTGCCTGCCTGTGGCCTGCTACAGGACCTTTGGTGGGGGCTGTGGGCACAGTGCCATAGCCAGGGGGTTCCTAAGCAGCTGTGGTGGGCCTGGGGTGTACTACAAACCCTCTGGGGGTGGCTGTGGGTACAGTCACCTAGTCAGGGTGTTCCTAAGTAGCAGGGTGAACCTAAGGGCAGCTACTTGCCCTCTGTCAGCCTTGGACACAGCCCCATAGCCAGGGGTCCCAAAGACACCAGGGTGGGCCTGGGGGCTGCTACAGAACCTCTGGCAAAGCTGTGGGCACAGCTTTATAACCGGGGGCTCCGTAAGAAGCCAGGGTGGGCCTGGGAGCTGTTACCGGCCCTCTGGCAGGAGCTGTGGGCACAGCCCCCTAGCCAGGGTGTCCTTTAGCAGCCAAAGTGGGCCTGCGGGCTGCTAAAAAGGGGCTGTGGTAATAGCGTGCTGTGCATAGGTACATAGTTTTCACCTATTTCTACATGTGTACATAGTTTAAATAGGGAGCACATATTTGTACACATCTACATATGGTGTTATCACGATAAATGTACATGTACATAATACGTGCACAATACATATGTACCTAATGCATACCTAATGTGTGCAATATGTACTCTTTTTGATACTACATGGTATGTATATATTACTGTGATTATACATCTTATTGTGATTAAATATATTTTATCATTGGTATTTTTAAAAAAAAATGTGCATAGTGCACATATTATGTACCTATGCATTGTGCACATATTATAGAAATAGTTACATATTTTACAGATTACATTTTTTTGTACATGTGCATTGTGTACACATAGGTACAGCAGAGTAAATTTTCAGACCTTACGTATTTAATACATTTATTGTGATATGCCAATAAATGTGCACATTATGAGTAAAATCTGGGATATTATTTTTAGCATATTACAAATTCCTTCGGTTACCAAAGAGGGTGTACACCCAGGTGTGTACATGGTTTATACATGTACATATTGTGCATATTATGTACTCGTGTACAGAATGTACATGTCTAAATTATATGTACATATGTGTGCATGGTGTGTACATATGTACACATGTACACGTGCATATATTGTACATCTGTACAACATGGGTACATGTGTACGTACTGGATACATGGTGTACATGTGAACATAATGTGTATGTGATGTTCATGTTTATA